CACAATGTGCATCTCACATCATTAGATTTACTAACATCTTCAACAATTGCAGTTTTCCATCCAAGCTCCTAGTAAATTGAAGCAAGAATAAAATTTGATGAAAAACTGGAACCTTCAAAATCACTATAACCTAAAGATGCACGAGTTTGATAAATATTTTTTCCCTAAACTTAAAAACAAGAGGAAAAAAATGACCTTCAAAATTCTGATTAGGTGAGCAATACAAAAATGAAAAAGTACACGTTTCAAGTTATTGCAACTCGACGAAGATCTCTGTGAAACTAGAGGAAGACCAAAGAAGAAGGTTTGCAACTCTATGAATTTTTTTAATTTTTGATTTTTCTTAACATTAAAAACCTACAGATTATTATATATAATTCACGAGCTTGGGTGAAATGGGCAAATTTGATGTTTGTTGGGCTCAATTTGCTTTTTTCAAGTTATAAAAATGGTTTGGGCTTTGCTAGGCTAATTTGGATACAAGTTTTAACATAAATACGTGAGCATTTTGTTGTTTAAACGTGCATATGCAGTCAATGAAACGCCTTGAGTATATGCGCTCATTTTAGAACTTTGCATATGAGCACATTTTAGAACACTATTAATGCTCCCCATCATGTTCTTGCTCATGTTTTTGATAATTTAGGAACCTTGACTTATCTATCCCTCGTGCCTGTTATGATTACATCTTGAAATTTAATTTATGATCATCTGCTTATTGTTTTGTAGACACATCCAACCCAATCGTGTTTCATGTCATCAATTGATGTTCACACACACTACTCGTATCAGGTAATTCTCTCTGATATTTCTTCAGTGTCATTCTCTGGCCACATTTGTTTGACAGGAGAAAATGATAATTGTTTTATTGGATTCACATCCACCAAACAAGTCATTTTGGAAGAATTTTCGTTTGATTTGGGGAAAAAAGTAGTTTTTCATGAAATCATTTCCATCTTACAAAAGGTTGCAAACCAATCTCACATTCCACTTTATGGATGGAAGTTTTCAAACTAGTAATTTATGTTGGTAAGATGCTTGCTTAGTCTTGCAAATTTTGTTTTCTCAAGTGTTTATTTCTTCCCAGGTTATGTTGCCGGAATCCATCGCCATTGTCATGGCCCCAAGAGACACTTCCAAGTAATATTCTTTTATGTTTTTTCCTCATCTAGAACTTTAACAGCGTTATTTATTTATGTACTGAACACTTACAATCACGTGTGCAGAAAACATGGTATATTCCGATTGACTCCAGGTGGCATGACAGTCGTGAGGCTATGCCCACAACGCGGGTTTCATCCACACGAACCCCCTTCTGATGGTACTCCAATATACAATCATTGTACAGATGTTTATATGAATCCTAGCTTGAAGGTTGACGTCATTGATCTACGGTGATCTCAATTACACAGATTTATTTGCAAGCTTATTTGCTCATTCATGACATGAATATGATTTTTAAACCTTCCTTGTAGTTGAACAATGAGAAGTTTCACAGGAAAGAAAAGAAAATTGTACAGTGAGATGACAATTCTTGTTCATGGATATAGGGAAAGTTCTGAATGGAGATAACTGTATTGTTTGTACCAGTTAACTTGTCTCTATTGGAATTATTTTTGCTGTTTTTTTTTTTTTTTGTCATATCTTGTCGAGAGATCTCGAGAACTAAATTGTAAGATAAATTGTTACTAACTTGTGCTCATTGTAATCTGTCATACAAGGTAATAGATGTGTGAACAGATTCTACAAGTGAAATAGTCTTGGCCAGGTTTTGGAATTGCCAATCAGACCCTACCTCTAATGTCCCCTATTATCGATTAAACGATACGAGAAAGGAATCTAGATGGGGCTTATTCTTCTGAGTAAAATCTTCGGGGGAGTCGACCCGAGTGAAAATATATGAAAAAGCAACTCGATACGTAATTGAAATAGGGACTGTTTTTGGGTGAGTTAAGGTACAGTTAAATGGTTAACCATAAATCAGTCTACAAAAAAACATCCTCGTGACCAGTAACAAGGATGCTTGACAGATCATTGTAGGACCATGTAGTAAGTTACTTTGGGACGTAGTAGTATTGGATAATATTGGACCGTGTATGAAGAATAAGATTTCAACATTTTTATGTTTTTAAATAGGATTCATAGCAGAAACATTTCTATGAACGTTTTCAATTTCATGTACGATATAACTCTGTATCTATTGAAAATCGTAAAAAAAAACCCTTCTTTGAAATCTTTTATGTGAAAAATCCCTTATTGTCAAGATCCGTCAGATTTATCGTTAAAAATAGTAAAAAAATGTCAAAATTAAAAAAGAATAATTACAATTTCAGTACCCAAACTTTTTACCCTTTTACAAATTAAATCCAAATTTTTTATACGTGCCAACTACTATCCCAAATCTTTTTTCAGTACCCAAACTTTTTACTTTTTTTGGTGTTCGTTTGACTTTATTTTCATGTAAATTATTCATTAAAGAGATATAATTTGTTTTCATTGCAAATAAGAAATAAAAATGTTGCATAGAGTGGGAAAAGATTTTCCTCAAAAACCAAGAAAATGTGAGCATGTGGGTGAAAGATAGAAAACCAATTCCATGAAAAATTTGGGCAATCAAACATGCAAAAAGATAGAAAATAGAATTTAATTTTCATGGAATTGAAGTGCAATCAAACATAGTCTAAATGTTTTTCTTGTTTTGAGAAAAACAAAAACTTATTCCTCATAGAAAAAAATGTTTTCCTTAAAAATAAGGAAAATTAGGCATATTTTCAAAAGTTAAAAAATAATTTTCATGGAAAAAATAGTAATTAAACACTCTAAATTAAGAATTTGGATGAAAAATTGACATTTTTCATGAAAAATAAATACAATCAAACACACATTTTTAGATTTTCTCAATTATAGCTTGAAAAAGAAATCCTTCACATTTCCATGTCCAAATAGTATTAAGGTGTATTTGAACTACATTATTTTGGAAGAATGTATTCTGAAATAGTAGATTGATAGAAAATTTGTGGTTGAAAAAGAAGGAAAAGTTATTGATGTGATGAAAAATATTATTTTATTAAAGAATGTGTGGTTGAAAATGAGAATTGATTCATAAAAAATATTTTTAACCATATTGTAAAATAATTT